CGACGACGACGACGACGACGACGACGACGACGACGACGACGACGACGACGACGACGACGACGACGACGACGACGACGACGACGACGACGACGGCGGCGACGGGGACGGCGACGGCGACGGCGACGGCGACAACGACGACGACGACGACGACGACGACGACGACGACGACGACGACGACGACGACGGCGACGGCGACGGCGACGGCGACGGCGACGGCGGAAGCGGCGGCGGCGGCGGCGGCACCGGCGGCGGCGGCGGTGATGACGGCGGCGGCGGCGACGTCGCCGTCAACGGCGGCGGGAACGGCGGCTGCGGGGACGGCGGCGGCGACGGCGCAGAAGCGCACAATCAGTCCATTTGGCAGTGGTGTTTCCCCTCGCTGGGGCCCTTTTGAAGCCCACGCAGCGGCCCCGACGGCAGTCTGGCAACTCCTGCCACTGTTATCCGAGCGGGCGCGCGCAGTGTGCGAACGTATCTACCCACCGCCGCGGCCGTGCTGCTGCTGCATCCCACTGGCAGCATCTCGAAACTGCCTCGAAACCACCGGAGCAGGCCTCCGCAAGGGGGTCGCCCGTGCTCGCGGATCCGCACACCACCTTCGTCCTCCTCAGCCTCCTCACCCGCCTCCTTCTCCGTTGCCGCATCTGCGGCCGCGGCCTCAGCCTCCTCCTCGGCCGCCAGCATCCCTAGAGGTCCACGGCGACACCACAATCGAAAACCGACCGAACCGATTGCGAAACCGAAGCCGACCGAAACAGATGGATCGACAGCGACATAGAAAAAACGCATCGGAGCAAGAGCCAGCCGAACCGAACCGAACCGACCGAATGCCGCTGGCTGCGAAACAGCCGAAGCAAGGGAACCGCGGACACTCTTGTGCAGGCGTGCCTAGTGGGGCCAGAGTACAGTCAGCCCGTGTCAGAAGGATGCGCGATAGGGATGCAAGGGCCTCGGACGCCCCTTGAAAAGCTTTTCGAGCAGGGCGCGGCAAACGAAAGTGGCGAAGCATGGACAAAGGAGGCAAGGATGCAAGGGTACCCTAGGGAAGGTTGCCCATCCTTACTATGCGGGTTTACTGGAGACGGAGTCGGAGGGTCGCACCCGCACCTTCGACCGATGCAGCGCCGTTGCTCCGGCAACGCCGAGGCATCGGCTAGAACAAGAGAAGCACATCGATGCGATGCCTTTTCGCAACGAGACGAGGTGGGGGCGGTGGGGGCTCGCTCGACCCGAAGCATGGTACCGAAACCGCTCGGATCCGACGTCGCGAGAAATGCATCTTTGTTTTAAATATGTGAAACAAAACAAGAAAACTACATTATGCTAACGGAGTTCCCCACATAAAGAGATTAACGGTTTCGTGGGACCCATTTTCTTGATGCCCTCCTCGCTTTGGCGGGGCCCCGCTGGAAGGGGGGAGGGCTACGAAACCTGGCGAAGAGTAATGCTTTCCGCGACCCTCCTCGTTCAAGCGCGGCCTCTCTGGAGGAGTGGGGGGGGGACACAAAACCATGTAAATAGTATGGTTTTCCGATACCCTCCTCGCTCAGGCGGGGCCTCCCTGGAGGGGTGGGAGGGGCACGAAACCATGTAAATAGTATGATTTGCGGATACCCTCCTCGCTCAGGCGGGGCCTCCCTGGAGGGGTGGGAGGGGCACGAAACCATGTAAATAGTATGGTATTCCGATACCCTCCTCGCTCAGGCGGGGCCTCCCTGAAGGGGTGGGAGGGGCACGAAACCATGTAAATAGTATGGTATTCCGATACCCTCCTCGCTCAGGCGGGGCCTCCCTGGAGGGGTGGGAGGG